TTCGGATGAAAAGCAGCTTTCAGTCAGTCCCTGGACGTGCCCTGTGATATATATAAGCAGGCAGGGCCGGTCACACCTTGCTCACTTTGTGTGTTCGAGGCACTTTGGCCCAAGTGTCTCAGGCAAGTCTGGGAAACTCAGGGAGATCCAGGTGTTATTTCTACTCTCTGAACTCTGCCCCTATGGGCTATGCGCCACAGCTGAAATATTGTTCTTCTTAATGGTGTCCACAGAACTACCTGTGAGCCAAAAGGGTCCAATTAGCTGGTTTTACAAGCAAATTCAATCCTTTTGGTGCTCTGAGCTGCTCAGATGCCATCTATAAAGAACAATCCTGGATTCAGCAGGGTAGGATGCGGCCTACATGTTGCCCATTGGGGAAGGAAAAGAACTCAATGGCTGAACACATACTTTGCACACAAAAGGCCCAGTTACACGATGATGGGAAACGTCTTTCTGTCTGAGACAGAAAAAATGGTGCCAGGGGAGGCAATACCTGACTAGATGGGCAGATAGTTTCACCTGGTGTAAGGCAATTTCCTAGGTTCTTAATGGGCTTTCGAGACTTTGGCACATGGAGTCTCAGTGAATTTTGAGCCATTTTCGGTGGGAACTCTGTCGCTGGACAACAACTGAACCAGTCCTGAAATGTCAGATAAGAATTGTTTGGCATACAGTCTTGTTGGCAGTGAAAGCTGCCACATGCAATATAAAACTCTGGTGTCAAATGATTAATAAGTGAGTTACACATGGTGCCCCCACCCCCACAATGCACACACCAAAGAGTAATGCTAAATGGCCCAAATATTGTTGCATGCTGCCATCTAGTGATTAAAATACCTTTTAAAAAACCAGAATTCCTTCTCAGTTGCTTTAGTTTTTTCAGTTAGAGAATCCACATGCATTTTACAAACGTTTCATGTGCTGAACTTGGACTGTCCCCAGTTCATCCAAAAAGCTGGCTAGAATGCACCTTGGGTCAGCTGCTCCTTCAGAATCAGATTCTGTGTAGCCAAGGTCTCACCATCAACTGACCTGACATTCAGCAGACGCTGGTCAAGAACGAAGTCCGCTGGATGCTTTCGGATGGAAGGGAGCTAAAAAGGAGAACAGGTATTAAATATCTCACCTCCCTACCTGCTCACCGCCCTCTATCACACCTCTTCCTGCCCAACCCACAATGAAGAACAGCACCCACAGCACCCTTCACGGAAACACTGCACCCACACGGCGCAGTCCAACAGGCCCCCTCTGGCCTCACTCATGCCCTTGCGCCAGCAGTGGATGCTGCCAGTTCCACTGCACAGCAGTGCCTGCCACTCACATGGGGAGATGTAGTGCTTACTAGCGGAAGCACTGATGAGCTGAAATGCTCATTTCTGGAAGGAGGTGGGTTGGTGGAGCTCCTGTATGTGCGCCCTGCCAAGCTGCTTGCTTCCGGAAATGAGTCCTCCTGCTCCTTTCCAGTTGTCCTGGAGGTACTAAAGGCGCACAAATGGTGGGAGTCGATTGGAGGGTGGAATTTGTGGGGAGTAAGGGAACCAGCAGGAGCATGAACACCACAGTGGATACTGCGCATACCTTGCACACTCTACGCAACAACTGCAGCCTAAGGAAATTAAACCACAGGGTTCAAAACCTCATCCATGAGCTCCACAATGAATGTTTGTGTAGGTCGACTCCTGTTGGTCACACAACATCACACCCCTGAGCAGCATAAAACAAGGGAGAGAGACAAGAAAAGGCGACCCAGAAGGGGCAGCACGCCGAAGCCACCCAAGTAAGAGCCCAGCAGACTGTGTAATGGGCTCCAGAAGAATAGAAGGTCGCTCATTTTGAGCCCGCTCAGGCCACTGTGTGGCTAGCGGACTGTGTTTGTCTTGCTGGTTTATAGTTTCTGTCAGTCAGGTGCTCTCCATGAAAGTCCATGCCAACATAGATATGTCTTTAGGATGAAAGAATATGCCTTTTTGTCATCTAAACGTCCTAAATGATTGATTGATTGATTTCAGTGGGGATTGGACATGAGTACCTCTCTTCATTGCACCCATCACAGTCAATGTGAGCTCTTTCTTTGGCAGCACAGATGGAATGATCCAAACTGCCGCCCGTCTCATCTCCGTTCCCTTCTCCTGCAGGACTGCAATTCTTTCTAAACAATGGAAAAAGGAATGGGAGAAGTTGGAGGGGCTGGGCTGCCATTGCCCAGCCTCAGATTCCTAGAAATGACGAAGGAGCAGGCAGAGGTGCCATCTACCCTGGTATGCTCCCTGATGCACCTCTGTCCCACAGCCTAAAGCAGCAGTGCTTCACTGAAAGAAGAACAGCTGCTTTAGAAAGAAAGGCAGAGCTGCTGAGAAGGTGTGGTAGTTCTGAGTATTTAAAAAAAAAAATATTTGGCTCACCTCTGATAGTTGGTGTCAAATCATTGTAAGTCAACATGCTGTCCTTCCATGAAGCATTTTGGACATAGGGTGCCCATGCGTCCTCTTTTACACAGGGAAAGTCACTTATTCAAATTGATAATAGTCACCTATTTTGAAAGCATCCTCTACTTGAAGGGCTGTTTAGTCTAGTCCAGTGTAAATAACCATCAGAAAGGAGTGAGGCTAAATTATGCAAATTAATCCCCTCTTTTGGAGACGACTATCCTCTTTGGAGGTAATTCACAAATGGTCACTGTTTGGTTGCTAATGTATTTGGAAGATTTTTTTTTCTTTATTGGAAAAGGGATTGTTAAGGAAAAGAACCAGAGAGAGGGAGGGAGGGAGGGAGGGAGGGAGGGAGAGAGAGAGAGAGAGAGAGCGAGAGAGAGAGCGAGAGAGAGAGCCAGTATTGCAACACATGCATCTAAATCCATGGTTCAGCCATCTTTGGCCTGCTGTGCTGGTTGCCCCATCTCAGAGGGACAGATAAAAAAAGTTCTCCACACAGCATATAGTTAAACTATGCAATTTGCTGCCATGGGGAGGGGTGATGGCTACCAATCTGGATGCCTTTAAAAAGGGACTGGACAGATTCATGAGGGAGGAGGCTATCAGTAGCCACTGGTCTTGCTGACCATGCCCTTTATGAATGGTGACATGGCTGCATAACACCAGTTGCTGAGGAGCTTGTGCGGGAGAAGCCTTGCACCCATCCTACTTGAGGGATCCAGCGGGTGGCTGGTTTGCCACCATGCGTATGGCGTTTTGACTGGCTGGATGTTTGGTCTGAGCCAGCATAACTTTTCTTAGGTTCTTACATTCTTAAAAAAAGAGATTGTAGAGCTGGAAGAGGTACAGAAAAAGGTGGCCAAAATCACCAGGAGTAGAATGGAGAACCTCCCCAACAAAGAAAGGCTACATTGTATTGGATTTAGAAAACAGCAGCTAAGGAGCGGCACATTAATTTCCCAGGAAGAAGTTAATAAGTTATGCATGGAGCAGCTGGATAAAACTTCCCTTTCACACCACCACTCCAACAGTAGAACTCGGTGTCATCCACTGAAATTGATCAGCTGGAGTTCAAGCACTTCCTCACATAACACATAATGAATGCATAGACTGGATCATGTCTACCAGCTCAGGTGACTTTAAAAGGTGATCAGACCAGGGATGGGCCAATAAATTGGCAGAGAGATGCCGCTGGCTTCAGTGGAGGAGAGGCGTAGTTAGAGCTGTAGCTTGCCCTGCATCCCCTGGGCTAGTCAGCTGCCCTCAGGTGCAGCTACAGCTGCCAGTCCAGTTGTCATGTGCGCAGGAGTGGGGAAAGCACCTCCTTGTCCTTTTGCTCAGGCAGTAAAACACCTGTAGTCCTTTTGCTCAGGCAGTAAAACACCTTGGACCAACGGTGGCTGAGACAAAGTCTTGGGAATAAGGCTCTCCATGGCTACCAGTGAAGCCCATGTTCAAAGACTAGATGCCTGCTCGTTCCATTTGTTGCAGGTGACAGCAGGAGGGGGCAATGCCTGCAGGTCATGCCCGTGGGTTTCCCAGGGCACCTGGGTGCTCATGGTGGGAAGCAGGATGCTGGACCAGATGAACTTTTTGGTCTGATCCAACAGGACTTTTTAATATGCCTTTCTTCAGAATACCCCACAGTTGGAGGACTGCATTCCACATCTTCCATGTAGATGACCCACCTGTGGTTGCCAGTTCAACCGTGCACGTGCTTTTGTCCTGTGCTTTCTCTACACCCCATAGCTGCCTGCTTGATAACTGGAGCTTTGCGACTCTGTCAGTTGCAAAGCTCAGCTTCTGATGTGGTTTGAGTAAGGCATGCAAGTTCTGATTGTGCTGTTATGTCTGCGTGGACCATGCACACATGCAAGCTGACATGGCAGTCATCGGGGGATGGAGAAAGGCCATAGCTCAGTGGCAGGGCATATGATGTGCCTGAAGGAGGCCCCGGGCTCAAGCCATGGCACCACCAGGTAGGGCTGAGAAAGATCCCTGTCTGAAACCTGGAGAGGCCTAGCCACCTGGCTTGGCATGAGGTAGCTTCCCATGTTTCAAACCCATATTTGTAAACTAGCTAACAAAACTCCCCCATCAGCTCAAACTCAATGCTCTTTATATATTCAGAGACTGGCCATCGAATGTTGCTTTCCACAACGGGTGCCTTCCAGATGTTTTGGACTACAGTTCCCATCATCCCTGACCACTGCAGTCCAATACATCTGGAAGGTTCCAAATTGGAGAAGACCGGTCCTTTGCAAGTACACGTCTCTGAAGCATTCAGTGCAGCAGAAGTACCTTGTGCTTTGAAACATACAACATTAAGTTGAATAGGATATTAATGTCATGAGTGCCTGCTTGGAGAACTTGAAAAATTACAAGCTTGAAATTTAAGACTGGTTTGTATTTGAAATGTATAGTATTAGGCAAAGGTACAAAATGCTAATTGAAGAATAACTTGTAAATTTCCATTTCGGCAGTGTAGGAGAAAAAAAAGTATAGTCATTAAAATAATACATAATGAGTCCATTAGAACAATGTGAGATCAGACATAAATAGCTCTCATGATGCAGCTGAATGTTTCTTTAGAGTGAGTCCTGTCGGTACATCTTGCGTCTTTTCATCTTTCAGTGCCTTCAGAAACTTATCTAGGAAGGAACACAACCTGGCGTTAGGTGGCCATCAGTTAAAAAGGAAAATGTACAAGGAATTAAGACAAGCCTGTGTATTTCCAATGCCCAATATACCAATAATATTGACCCTGGATGGAAAAAATTACAGTATTCTTTGGGAGAATCAAATAGCAAGATGAGGGGGAAAAACCCAAAGCAAGAATCCACATTCCAGGAAAAAGCGACTAAGCAAAAGGTCTTGTTAGGCAAAGTAGCTGTACCAATAGCCCAGTCCTCTGTTTTGGGACACAAGGTATGTAGCATCCACGATCTCACACAGGGCCTCTGGCACCAAATGCATCCAAATGCCTCGTCTTTTTGTTTCAGGGTTGGGAACTTACATTTGCCTGTGCTTAAGAAGCAGCAGCTCATAGTCCTCCCCTTTAGCGAAGGAGTGGTGCTCCTGCAGGGAACTTGGCAGTCACCCAATGGGTTCATGTCTTTTCTTTTTTAGTCTAGGGCTCCCAGGGACCCCTTGAACCTCCTGTTAAGAGGTACAGGAACTCCTCGTATTGTCCCATAAGCTTTCAACACTGGAGCAGCTCCAAACCCTCTGGAACCTGTGGAAGCGCAGTTCCGTTCATGGCAGAGGTGGGCAGGAGGTTGATGGGGGTCTCCTAGCAGTCCCCTGGATGATCTGCTGTTGATGGGTGGGGTTTCAGACTCCCCCTCATCCCTGAAAGAGGCTGATGAAAAAGAAAGCTTGAGGGGAAACCCAGGCAGGTGTTTTTGGGCAAAGGAACTTGGGAGCAATAACACATGTCTGGGCTGAGAATGTTCTCAGAGACTCCCTAATATTTTGTATATGTGTGGCTATCAGTCTCTGCTTTGCACTCATGTCTTCTTGGTGGCTCCCTTTATAGTAACACAATGATGTCTAACTTTTCTCTATACTTCGCACAGAAGCCTAACCTTCAGAGAGCTAAGGCCTATATATGTGTGTGCGTGTGCATGCGTGTGTGCATTTAATTTAGTCAGACATCTCCATTCAGCTTTCCAATCACCAGCCTTCACCACTGTGAGCAGATGCTGAACTATCAATGGTGACCTCTCTTTTTAAGGTGCTTTAGACTGCAACTTTTGGGTTCTAAAGTTGCAAAAAGTTGCAACTTTAGACTGCAACTTTTTAAGGTGCTTTAGACTGCAACTCCTATCAGGTCCACAGAAAGCCAATAGTTAAGGCTGATGGGAGTAGCTCCCCAACTGCACCTAGAGGTTCTGAATCCTGGTTTTGAACATCTGTTAGGCAAGACTTGGAGGTCCATGGGCATCTCTACATGAGGCTTTTAATACAGTGCTTTACCAAGACTGCTTCTTCTGTTTTCTTTGTGGAAGGAAGGTTTTCTTCTCCGGAGTTTTTCTCCTTGCCTTTCTAGATGTTCCTAGATGTTCCATGACACAACACAAGGTGGTACTCTGGTAAAGAATGGAATTTAGACAAGGCCTCTGAATGTTGGATGGCACTGTCATTCAGCATTATCCTTCCTCTAAAAAAAACTGTGGAAATGGCCAGAAAACATGGACGAGGCCCTGGAGGATCTACCAACTTCCTTGCTTGAGGGATCATGACCATGCAATAGATGCCTTCAGTAGGAAAGCCCCAGGTTGGTATTCTGTCTGAACTTATTATTATTAGAATTGCTCCTTTAGGTTTCTGCACTGAGCCTGGTATCTCTTTGCAGTAATAATGCTTAAAAGTCCAGAGAGATGAGCAGTTCTAAAATATTTTCTCAGATCAGTGGCCTGACTTTTAAAAAAAGCTGTTTGGAAGCTGTTTCCCTCCCTTTCCCCATCTCAGGCCATCTAGCTGGGATCCTAAGGAGACATCTGTGAATGGAAGGGGTCTTGTCTATTCCTGGATGGGACCATGATCCAGCAAAGGAAGCTGCCGATAGAAGGTGGGGGGAGGGGGCTGGTTCTCCATTTCCCCTTGCAGTCAATCCCTTAGTTAGAGATCCCTCAGCCCAGCATACTTTTGCAAGCAAAGATGCTGCAGGTTGGGGGAGAAACCCATGGAAGCGGTCATGGGAGTGTCCAGAAGCAAGTGTCTGCTAGAGCAGTGAGCCTAACTACAATAGCCCTGTCCAAAATGTAAAAAAAGGATGCTGTATTAAAAAGTTTTTCAGTTCATTCAATGATCCCCTTGGAATATGTCAGGGTAGAGATGGGCCTTGTGTTGATGGCATTTATATTTAGCAAAGGAGCCTTCAAGTCTCATCCATTTGTTGAAGCAACCTCAAGCTTCTTGATACTGATTTATCACAGAATAGCAGGCAGAACAACATGGAAACACCCTGTTTGCAGCTCAACAAAGTAAAAAGCTTAAGCATTTATAGGAAAAGACACCCCCCCGCCGCCCGCAAAAACATGGTCATCCAAGCAGGAAATGTTCGTGCTTCAGAAAGGAGAGAGATGGTGCTTTGAGAGTCCAGGCTGGATTGGGGGATGGGATTCCGTTCAACTGTGCACAGATGTAAAGTCTGGACTGCCTCTGGACATTCAGACTTCATTTGCAAGGGTGGCCAGAATACAAGTCAGAGCAATGCACCCTCCCTTAAGGGTGGTGGTGGGGGACTTCGGCCTGATAGGCGCAATTCCCATCCAACTTGAGGTCCCTCCCTGATCTTTGCCCCCCCCCCCCATCCCCGAGTTTCAAATCCTTCTTCTCTGCTGCAACATCAGCAGCACTAGCTTCTGGCTGGGTACCATTCTTGGGGGTGGGAAAGCTCTGAAGGGTGAAGGGCTATCACCCTTCTCTGAGCACTGTGCGCTGCCTCTACAAATCTCTCCATGCTTCCAGTGGAAGCTGGTGCTGCAAGGTCAACAGAACTGTCTATCAGCTCCAGATTTTTCGTTTCTGCAGTTACAGGCCTTTTCCAAATGAAATCTAACAACATTATGGAAGGTATTATCTGGAGATTGTACAACTTTCAGACATCGAGGTTAGAGTATTTATGATCAGGATAGAGAAGTGTGCAGGAGTGCAGACATGTGGATAGTGATACATTCCGGTATTCCTGACTGGGTCCTGTACTTTCAGAACAGTAACAGAGACGCTGCTGTGGATCCTCAGGGTTGATCACCAAGAGACTTCTTGGCAGCAACAACATGGAAAATTTTGAAGTGCAGGCACTCCTCTTGACAGTCCCTATAGCCTCATTCCCAGTAAGATTCCAGAATTGCAGGCAGTGGGTTGATCCATCGTAAACCAGTTCTAGCAGTTTTCATCTGCCAGGAGCTGGTCTTTTACAAAGCTTATGGGTCTTTATTGCCTATCCAAGACCAAGCTATCCCAAAATGCTTGGCATTACAATTGGGAATAAAGCAATTTTGCTGGGAAAAATAATATTCTCCATGCCACATCCTGTGAGGTCGATAGGTGAGCATGGAGGGTACAGGAAATTCTGAGGCAAAGGATGCCAGCATTTCTGCCAAGCATAGAAACAGAGTGAGTCAGAAGGGGGCTCCTGGGCCATCTAGTCTGACCGCCCCCCCCCGGCTCCAGCTGGCTCTGCTCATGACATGCCTACCATGTGCATGTCCAGCCTATCCTGGAACACCCTCCTGGAACTGATGGGGCTTCAGCCACCTCCCATGGAAGCCCCTTCCACACCCAGGCTGCAACCCTTGAGACTTGCTCCGCCTCCCCACCGCTGCGAGAGATGCTTGTGGTTTTGAGCCGAGCGGCTTTGGGGAGCTGCCCTTGGGCCACTTACACTGCTGAGGGTCAGAGCCATCTCCAGTGAGCGCAAGCAGTTCCAGCTCCTTCAGGCGGATGCCAAGCTCACAGATCTCCCCGTCTGGCTGCTGCTGCTGCAGTGCTCCCGTTCCGTGCTGAGCAGTGCCCTCAGAGGCAGGGCAGAAGAAGCGCAGCGGCTCATAGGGGATCGGGGCCAGGCCAGCTGGCCAGGGAGGTGGGCAGCAGCGCTCGCTGGCGGGTGGGAGCAGCCCGAGCCCCGGTGGGGGTCTCTGAGGCCCGGCTGGTCCGGCTTCGCCCCCACGCAAGGGCACAAAAAGCTTCCGCCAGAGGCTGCAGTCTGCTAGGGTGGTGCTTTGTGTTGTCCGGTCATAGAGGGAGGGGAAGTAGAGAGGGGGTGGCGGCCGAGGGGATGGAGGAGGCTGTTGCTGGTGGCTCATGGGGTCCTTCTGAGGCTCAGCAACCAGTGTTGCTGCCGTGGAAACAGTGGAACCCGAAAGAATCCCTGGGCTGCCAGTGTTCTGTGGAGCATAATCCTCTAAAAGGCATATTTTAACAGCTTGAAAGCAGACTGTCTGGGAAGTGACAAGGCCCGAGCCTGGCTCTGAGGAACCCAAAGGTGTTGGAGTGAATGTGTGGGTTAACATCTAGGGCAGCTGAGGGCTAGCTGAATGCGTGTCCCCTCAGAGGCAAATGCCTGGAATCAGGAGCGGGGAGACATACAGAAGAGTCATTTCTCTGCTGACCATGCTGCCTAGCCATCAAGGAGAAGGGTAGGCCTCATGTGGACCTCCAGTGACAGAAATATTCTCTAGGAGCAGATGCTGAAGGCGACTGAGCTCCACATCGTTGATGTGGGGTACTTCCAGACAGATGACTCCTACCAGAAAGGCACTGCACACCAACTGTGGCTTCTTGGATTTTCTGCAGTAGCCAGGAAGATGGAAGACGTGGTGAGAACACTGGGAGGGTTGTGAGGGGGAGACCTTGGCACCTGGACTACCCCTGCCTCCTCTCTTAAATGTCATGAATGAGGCAGGTGGAGGTCAATACCAAAGCCTAATCTGGAAGCACCTCTCTTGGCCAAACTCTGGAGGCTTTTTGATCACAGCCACACTATTTTTACGCACTTCCTTTTGTTACACCTTCTTCGTCACACAGTCATTGTGAGTGGAGCTGCTGTTGGGCCAGTGTGTCCACTCCATTTTATAATGGGTGACATCCCAAGCAGACTTCTGCTTGTGCCACAGAACTCCCTACCCTTTTCCTGCTTCCTGCATTCCCTGCAGCCCAGCAGTCTTGTGTGCTCCCCTGGAGATAATTTGGGAGGAACACCAGGAGCTGCAGTGGGGAACTAGCTTTGTTTAGGGGTGCTGTTTTTGTTAGTGGAGAGACACAACTGGATTTCACCCCGAATGTTAAATTGCTTTGCCTCATTCCCAGAACGTTACCTGATACCCACATGCTAGTTGCAACTCTTCTGTTTTTTCTATGACTTCTTCCATCTTGCTTTCTTACTACAGAAGACCCGCTCAGAAGGAAAGATGGAGCAGCAGCAACTGTGTGCATGTTTAGAGGCATGCTGGGAATGGTAGGCCTGTTTCTGTCAAACAGGCATAGGCTTGCCCCCACAGGGTCTTTTGATGGGCCGCAGCAGCTGGAAGCACTCTTGACCACATGCCACACTCCTGTTCCATGCTCAATGCTGCTGTTGTATCTGGGATCTAAAAGTCTGTCCAGGCCGGCTGATTTAACATGTGACCAGTTCAACTCGCAGCCCTGAGGAGAATCCTGGCTTTGGAGCAGGAGAACACGGCCCCTTTCAGTCCAAGGGCCTCGATTCTTTCCAGAGAAACTCTCAGAGCCACATTTCATGGGTGTGGCAGGGCCAACAAAAATGTGGCAGGGCCAAAACAACATGAAATACCAGCATATTAATGTGGTGATCTTACTGTTAGCAGTTAAGCTTTAGGAGAAGCCATTCAACCACTGAGAATGGGGAAAAGGGCACAAAAACTGGGAATACATGAAAGAATCCATGGTTGGGAAACAGGGGTAGGCAAAGGCGAAGGGGACGTGGGCATCCGGGCCTGAGGGTCTCCAGCCCTGCTTTAGCAGGCCTGGAAGTGCAGCCTGAATTGAATTACACATACATGGCATGGCCCGGTTTTCTCTCCTCCAATTTCTTGGCAGGTTGCATCTGGCACTGACAGTTCTGCTAGACAGATTAAAAAATAAGCAGAGATAGATAGATAGCAGAGATAGACTAGCTCTGCTCTTCTTGCACCATAAACAACCTTTCCCAATGTTAAAAATAGGGAAACATTTGATAGCATCGGTGTATCTACATCTGTGGTTGTATGAGAGAAGTCTGGCCTTAAAAATGATTAATGTACAACTTTCATGGTCATAAAAAATAGTTTAAACAGACAGAAAAACATAAACACCCTGAACATTTTGTAGCAATCTTTTATAACAGCTTGAATAAAGGCAAACAGTTTCCCTCCTTTAGGATAACTTGTTATTTTTTCCATTTCATTCTGTTTTCCAGAAGAAGGTTATGAACCTCGTGCTGTTATTCCTTTCTGATTCACTGAAGAGATCTTGGATTAACACAGTGTAGGTTGGTAGCTAGATTATTCTATTATGATGGAGTGCTTAATATACAATGGTTTATCATTTTATTTTGTAGTGTTCCTCTAGTTTCAGATGCTGATGCTGGCCCTGTGCTTTCAGCCTCTATGTGGTGGAAAGCTCTATGCGAATATATTGTTGCAGCAACTTCTCCTATTATCACATTTTTATTCAGAGAGGACAGAAGAAGAGATATGCCCACTCCCGTTCTTTGGTTGTCTGGCATTTTGGTCAAGGCTTATGTTCAGTGGCACTGCCAGTCTGTATTCAGGCTCAAAATGTTGATCTTGGACTCAAATCATATTCACCCATGTATGAGTGAAGGGTTGCGCACACAGACATGCATTTCCCCACTTCTACTCACAGAGTGGAATGGTTGGTGAAAAGACAAGACAAGACAAGAGGACTTTCTTATCGGTGACCCAACTTTTACAACACCCCCTCTTGGGAGGTCTATTTGTCCAACTCTGAGAGTATTCCTTTGCCACCAAAAGCCCTTTTTGTTCTGACAGGCCTTTGCCCAAGTTACAGGTTGTTTTGCTGGTGCTCTTTACCTTTCATTAGAGTTTCTGAGTTCTGTAATTTCATCTGCTGCAGTTATAAGAGCATCAGAAGAGCCCAAGGCCAAGGGTGTGTTTAGTTCAAAATTCTGCTCACACATAGGAAACTCAGAAGCAGAACTTGAGTGCAAGAGGACACTTCACCCATGTTCCTTCATAATTGCTATACACAGGATACTGCCTCTGATCCTGCAAATGGCACAGAATCCTACTGCCCTTGATAGTCTTCTCCTCCATGAAGTTGCCCAGTGTGCTTTTAAAGTTATCCAAACTGGTGGCCATCACCACAGCTTGAAGGAATGAGTCAATATGAAGAGACCCATTAACTGTGTCCTTTATGAAGATGTTCTTGTTTCTATCCTTTGTTCATCAAGCTCTTGCCTTGCTAGCATGGCCTAGGAAGGCACAGAACATTCTTGGACCACTTCCTTTTAATACCAGCTTGGTGACACATTTATAGAGATGGTCATCCCTCTTAGCTTTTCCTGATAGGAATTCTTGGAGGGTTCTGCATGTCTCTGTACAGAACATGTCAAGACAGGGCACCTCACCAAGAAGTCCTTGTGCTACACCAGCCTTCCTTCCAGGCTGCCATAACGGTGGACATTGTTCTGATCTTGATCAAAGCTTTTTTCTCCAAAAGCAATGTGCCTGTATAAGACACTGGAGATTTTAGAGCAATCCTGCAAACCTGATTTTTGTCCAGCAGAGGGAATCAGACACCTACATTCTGGAAAATGCCTGCATTGTATTTCTGTACTTCTTCATTATTTTGCATGCACATTTTTTTCTTATCCAAGGATACAATTTCCATGGTAGGGAAAAATGTATGTATCATAAAGCCTTCAGGCTATTTCCTGGAATGAGGACTAATTGGGGAGCTAACGTTTGTGTTATTTTGCAGGATTATGCTTTTCTAAGGCAATTTAGAAGGAATGGGTGGGTATCAGCATCCGGGGCGAGGGCAGCTAACAGGTGAAGGCACTGGGACCCAGGCAGATAGGGCGTGACAAGTACAATACACAGTCCAGAGGTCAGAGCCGGAAGTCAATATACAGGCCAAGTCTGTACAGAAAGATAGCATAGTCCAGATCGGGCTGAGGGTCGGAGAACCAAGGAAGGCAGACCAGTCAGGGAGAGTCAGTACCTTGCAGATCAGGGAGGGAAGAGGTGCAGGCAGGGTCTGGGAGCCACAGGAACAGAGGCACAGGCAGGAAGCAGGAAGAGTTCAGGCAGGAAGCAGGAGCGGAGTTCCAAGTCTAGCAGACCAGGAGGACTTCAGCAACACCAGGAGACCTTCATTGCCAAGGCAGCTTCTGAGGGGAAGAGCAGGTTCTTATACAGCTCTTCCTCAGGGTTCCCCAGGTGGAACTCATGAGAGCCCTGGCAGCTGCAGTGGACTGAGGTCAAAATCCGGCAACCACCAGAGCTGCTGTCCACACCTTGGCCAGCAGAGGGAGCCCTGAAGCTGCCTTTGAACCTCAGTGGGTAGGAAAGGCGCATATGGAGTAGGGCAGCAGACGATTACCCAACAAAAAGCATTGGTTCAGCCTTCCTTCCCCTGGTGACCTCCAGATGTTTGAGGACATGACTCAGAGCATTCTTGACCATTCGGCATTCTTGCTGGGGCTGATTGGAGTTGAAATCCAACACAGCTGGAGGGCTGCAGCTTGGGAAGTCTGGAAAATTTTAATGAGAGGGCCTGTAGGTTTAATCATATTCATTTGGGATTGAAAAATCTGTTTTGGTTCTGATGTATTACTCTAGTAAGGAGTAAAAATATCTGTTTAGGGAATTGCATGGTGTTGTGCTGTGCAGTTATCTCTCTAGACTTCTGTATACTGAGATGTAGCACATGATACATAATGAAGCTATAATATTCATCAGTGGAAGATGTAATGACGGCTATCAACTTGGGCAGCTTTAAAGATGGATAAGTCAAATTCCATAGTTACAGTCAAGCTATAAAATTATGAGCTAGTATAACTTTCCTCCAGTATCCACAGCGGCACCTCATTCAAGACCAGTTGCTGGAGAACATGACTGGGACAGTGCTGTTCATCTAAAGTCCTGCTTGAGTGCTTCTCACAGACATCTGCAAGAACAGAAAGCTGGGCTAGGTAGGTCCTGGGTCTGATCCAGCAGGACATTTCTTGGTTGTTTTATGGACATTAAATATGGGTCTCACCTACCTACAAGATGATGGGAAACTATGTGCTGGGAGCAAAGGTGGGGAGGAAGTCATT